GTGATATGGACTCTAAGCAGAGGAAAGGATCAGACTTTTTCTTTTTATGTCTCGATCCTTTAACTAACTAAAACCAGGCAAACACTATACAGTTGGTCTAAGCCGGGTCATGGTGGGTAGATTGGTGAGGTTTATGATGCAGGTAGCCTGACGGTCCTGGGCACTAGCTTCCTAATTCTCATTCTAATCTCTTTCTCGATCCCGTGGCTTTGACTTACGATCAATTGTTGAGTGTTTGCCCCAGCTTTCAAAATAAGTCAATAGCTCTCATTGTAGGTTTATGATCAAGCGTAATGTTACAATTACATGTGATCTGACATTTTGATGCAAATAACGCGTTAAGTTGACACGATATTAACGAAATCTCAATTCTGCGTTGCATTTCGTGGCGAGTGTCTATTGTTAATTTATGGATGCACAATTAATTTTCAATTTAATAATTATTCTTGATTAATATACATATTGTGTGGTAAATTGTGTATTAATATTACTCTTATTATGTTAAGGTTGTAGAGGTTACAATATTAGACAGTAATGGTAGGAGGTAGTAATAGGTCATTAGATAATGGTACAGTATTAAGATAACTTGTCTTACATTGTGTATACAATATAAGTTGTAGGTAGGTAATATGGTATGGTATTATGATAGGAATGTATTTGTATATAGCAAGGTTAATATGGTATAGGTATCATTGTGTCATATTAAGGTTCATAGGTTCACAAGTTAATGTAGGTATAAATATAATGGTATGCTGTTATAAGATAAGAATGTACTTTTATAGCAAGGTTAATATGGTATACATGTACATGTAGGTATCATTGTGTACTTTAAAGGTCATAGGTATAGTAGTAGAAATTAGAAGGGTACAGGTTATATAGTGTAGGTAGTAGTAGAAATTATAGGAAACATGTAGTGTTAGGTATGCAGGTTATATAGTGTAGGTATAGTAGTAAACATTATAGATAACATGTAGTTATACCTAGGATATAGGCTATAGTGTAGAAATTAGAAGGTAGTTATAGGTATAGTGTAGGTATTGTAGTAGAAATTAGGAAGCAGGTATAGTTATCATTAGGTTATAGTATAGGTATTGTATAGTAGAAATAGAAAGTAGTTATAATAGAAATTAAGAAACAGGTAGTTGTAGGATACAGGTTATATAGTGTAGGTATAGGTTATAGATCTAGGTTTTATCATTTATTATTATTTTTTTTAAATTTATTATTATTATTTTTATAATTAAATTTATTATTTTTTAATTATTTATTATCATTTATTATTAGTATTTTTTTACCTGGGGCCCCAGGTTTTTATAATTTTTGGGCAGCAATGTAGTGCCGCCTCCACGTGACACTGCCTGGGATCACTAGTGGTTACTACTGCTAGTGATGCTAAGAGCACTACACACAAGAAGAATAGATACTAACAGTAACTATGTATGATGAATTACATTCCATTGTTAGGTTAATGACATTAAGGGATAAGTACAATTCTCTGCTATTGAAGACTACATTGAGAAGTATTCTAAGTATAGTATCACTGCATTTTATATTGATGCTGTCATTGCTATAGGTTGTTGGTTAAATTTGAAGCTGTACTTACATTAAGAAGATTATGAAGATGTGAAGAATTACTTTTTTAGTATTGTTTTTGTTCTATGTAACAATTTCTTTGTTTATAACTATTTCAGCATTTTTCTTCTTGTTCAATACACAATTTCTTCTTTATCAATCATTGATTATGAATTTTGATTATAATTATTGCAGGACCAATGAAGAAATGGTAATAAATCAATCTGAATAGTGTTATAGTCCTTGAGTTCAGAGTCTATAGATCTTGAGTAATATGAATGAGATAGTAGTTCAGGTCCACAGCCTATAATAAATAATAAATGATTAAGAATAATATACATTATCAATGAACATAAAGTCTAATATTAAGCGATTCTAACATAATCAACAAAGCAACAAGCAAACAAAGCAAAGGCATGTAATGATAACATTTGGCCATGGCTCATGGTTTTTTCTAAAAAATGGCTCCAAAATCATCCCAAATTTTTATTACATTTTCTGATACATATTGATGTCCTTTAGTCTCGCCGGGCCAGCCCCTTCCTTTAGGGGAAGGGTCTGGAGACAAACCAGGCAAAATTGTAGCATAGCGCTGGAATGTAGGCGTGTAGGAAGTTGTTTCTAAATGGATCCGGAACTCTCTGTGTATTATTGTAATTATATATTATGTGTTCATTCAAGTATATTCTAGAACAATCATGTAAAGTATTCTTGTATGTTATAGAACCTTCTGGACATTTATAAGATCTATATAAGTGTGTTGTTTGTGAGTGTTAGTTTTTGTTTTGTTAGTTGGTTTTGTTTTTGAGCTCAGTTGTGAGTTTCGTGTTGATTAAGAATAAAGTTGGTTAACAGATAGTTGGAGCGTCTGTTACATTTTTTGGTGTCAGCGGTGGGATAGTTCTCAAACGGTTGTAGAGGAAAGACCCACTATTGTATCTCTGCAAGAGAGAGAGACTAAAGTTTATAGTGTCTGGTGTGACTGTTTATGTCGGATAACAGTCGAGAGAATCAAGGGCGGTATTCTCTACGGGACTTACCAAGACACGACTACAGAGGACAGTTGCGAGGATTACATATTTTCAGAGAGAGTTATACTTCAGTTGATACGGAAGACTGTACTGAAGTGGAAGAAAGTCTTATTACAGGAGTTAGTGATCCGATGGAGCAATTAGCGGCAGCTTTGGCAAGTTTAACAAAGCTTCAGGAGGAGCAGCAACGTCGTTGGGAGGAGGCCCAGAGACAAGCTGAAGAACGTCGTCAAGAAGAGGAGCGACGAAGAGAGGAGGCTCAGAGACAAGCTGAAGAACGTCGTCGAGAAGAGGAGCGACGAAGAGAGAGACATTATGAAGAGATACAGGCCATGCAGGAGCAGCATATGCAGC